ACTCCCTCTTCAGCGGGGGCCTCCAGCCTTGCAATGCACGCGTGTGAGCAGAGGGAGGAGAGGACCCTGCAGTCGATTCGGGTCATCCATGAGGCTGACCCGGACCATCCGGCGCATGGCTATTCGCCTCCAGCGTGCTCACACCCGGCGCATGGCCACTGGCTGTACCTCGCTCGGGATGCGAGAAAGCCACAGAAGGGGTCAACACGTGCTAGAACGTCACCCACCAGGTCCTGGGCGCGGAAACTGATGGAGAAGGAGCATAAAACGTCCGGAAGTGGGACAGTTCTGTCACAGTTGGGCAGCTAGTTTGAGTCTACATATGCCAAATTGGCCTGTCTCTGGGGACATCGCGAGGGAAGGTTGTCGTCCAAACAATCGCCGATCAATCAATGATGTGCCCGGCGTACCAGCACTTTCACCGATTGGTTCGGATCGGCCGCCACATGATCAGCACTCCGGCGTCTTGATATACCAGGCTCTCGAATAACGTGTATCAGCTCCTTCACATCTGGCTCCCCATGTGGGAGCATTCGATATCTTGACCCTCTTACAACATCGCTGCAGCTGCTTTGCGATAATTCATATTTCTGAGATGTGGCCTCCGGCGAACAGACGGCTTCACTGACTCGGGCGCCGTCAGTTAGCCTGAGTGATGCGCAAAACTGAGACGGTTCGGTGGGCGCAGCTTGCCGGCGGTCTGCGAGGCCATGAGTTACGTCCCACACTGGTTTGTTTCAACAAAGTCTGGTTCTTCAAGCGTTTCACGGGCATCTGCGGAGCAGGCAATCTACTCAACCCGTCAACGGGCTCCATCTTCCCGTCGGGTGGGGACTGAATAGCGAGTCTCGGCAGCGCAACTCCGCGGCCATCTGCGAACTCCAGCCGTCAACGCCCTGCCGGGCCCGCTGACCGCTGCGCTCGTGAAAAAGTTTCGCCAACGTCCCCCGATCCGTCATCAAGGTGAATGGATCCTGGCCACCCATCGCAGGTGCTCTGAAACTGTGTCACACCCGGCAAGACGGAGGAAGATTGACCCTCCCTCTCGAGGTCAGACCCACTGGCGACGAGCGCGTCGACCCTTCCGAGGTCAGGCAGGGTCACCGGGTCAGGGCGGGGCGCACTGACAGCTCAGCCCTCGTCTCAGTTCTGGACGCGATTCAAATGATGGCGGCATCACCACGTTCGGCGCGCAATTTTCACAATTATCTGTAATTCAAGCTATTCTAATGGACGCTCCGGAACCAGATAAATGTCCTGCGATATTTTGTAAATAGCCTAAACAATGGACATATCTTCCCATTCAAATCGATATTCATGAGTCTTCGCTGCCCGCTACAATAGGGCTGACAGGAACATTTTAGCACAAAAGAACGACTGCGATTATTTGCAGTGGAGATGTTGTCGACCTAACAATGGCTGGCTTTTACGACGTCTTGTTACCAAGATACAGGTCTCTGTGTCCTTTTCCAACAGATATATTTTATTCGGGACGAGTCACAGAAATTCTGATTTTCCTACCCAAATGCACAAATGGCTGGCCGCTAACCCAAGCAGCCCATGCGGCACGTGCAAATGGATATGCACATACCACAATTCATGCACAACTTAAGACCATCCCCACACAAGGCCCTCCAGGCAGCCATCTCCCCCGCCCCCTGGGTAGACGAGGGGCGAGGAGCGTGAGGAGGGGGGGGGGGGGGCGGCTGGCTTCTGGGGAACGCCTCCGGCACATCAGCATCACCCAGCCCGAGCTGAGGGGTGAGGGGCGCGGGGGAGGGGAGGGGCTGGCGTCCGGGGAACGCCTCCGGCACATCAGCGTCGCCCCCGCCCGAACCGGAGGGGGAGGAGCGCGGGGGGAGGGGGCTGGCGTCCGGGGAACGCCTCCGGCACATCAGCGTCACCCAGCCCTACCCGGCGGCCGAGTGGCGCGGGGAGGGGAGGGGGGGGGGGGGGGGCGCTGGCGTCCGGGGAACGCCTCCGGCACATCAGCGTCACCCCCGCCCGAGCCGGTCATCCGTCTGAGGGCCAGCGGCGCGCCGCTTCCGTGCGCGCCGCGTGCGCCGCCGTTGTGCGAGCATTCCTCTGGCACGCGCCGCCGCCGCTTCCGCCGCCGCCTCGGCCGTGTTTCGCCAGAGGCGACTCCAAGTGGGTCGCTGTCTGGGCGCCGTGCCCGCGCGCCGCGGGCGCGTTTCCTGAGCGTGTGGCGACCGGGCGCGGTCTGCGGCGTCGCGCGGCGGTTGGACGGGGCCTCTGATGCCGCATGATGACGCACACGTCCTTCGAGGGCGTGCGGTGATCGCACGCCGTTACGGATGCCGTGTGCTGGTCGGACGCCATCTCTGACGACGTGCCCCTGCCAGAAGCCGTTTTTGATGCGTGCATGGACTGAAAGCCGTCTCTAGTGATGTAGGGTGATAGCGTACCGCTTCTAATGACGTAGGGTGACGGCATACCGTCTCTGATATTGGCAGGGGACAGCAGTGGTGTTCGCGAAGGGACATCACCGATACCAGAAGCATGACGTAACCAGTACTTACCACCCACAAAGCACTTCTGACATTTACACAGAGCACTCCTGACGCCTGCACGGGAGCACTGCTGACGCCTGCACGGGAGCACTCCTGACACCGCAGCGGCGCGTCATCGACGCCGCGCTCCGGCTTGGACCGGACGGCCGGACCCGCAGCGAGACCGGTGCGGGTCTGGCGGTGACCGGGACGGGTCGGTCAGCGACCGGTGACCAGAACGGCCGGCGCCGGCCGCTGCGGGCGGCGGCCGACCGTTCCGTGTCCTCCGCACGGCGAGCCGCGCTCACCTCCAGCGCTCCTCAGTCCGCCCCCGGCGACCCGGCCCCCAGGGTCCGGCCCCTGGGACCTCGCCCCTGGGACCGGGCCCCTGGGACCCCGCCCTGGCGGTCAACCGGATCGCGTCCGCACATGGCCGCCGGCAGGGCGGCGGAACCTAGGAGCTGGCCTGCTGCGGCAGCATAGTGCTGTCGGGAACGCAGGTAGATGTCCAGAATCTCGCAAACGGTAGCTGAGAGGGTCGGTGGTGTCGAGAGTCCTCATCTACTCCATATAAACTGTGTACTTTTGGAAGAGCTTCGTTTTTTAGTACTCATCGACATGCACAACGCAGATGTTTGTGACAGTGTCATGGTCCGGTACAATAGCACGCCATGGTTTGACAAGCGGCAAAGCACAAATCAAACACGCACTGAACTCAGCGACTTGTCACGAGGGCTCGACATACACAACGCGGTTTTTCGGAAATTAACCGTCATGAACTGAGCGAATTATGAAGAACGGTATGACATGAGGGAGAAAGCAATGATCAGGAAAGGTAATGAATGACTAGAGAAGAGGAATGATATGCGTCTCATTTACATCCAAAGAACATTCGACTGACGCACCGGATCTCCAAGCCCGAACAGTTTCTCCCTGACAGCGAGCATATCGATTCGTCGGTGCATCCAACGTCTTCGGTATATCTGCATTGACCTGACCCTTGGCAATAGCGAATGCAACGAGTCCTCGATGGAGCAATACACGTGCAATATCCGTCACCTTGTCTTCAACCGCCTGACCGGCGCCCGGCGGCTGGCCCGAGGACAAGAGGATCGGGTCACCTCTGGCCATGGCGCTGGCGGCTCGCGTTGAGAGATAGGGTGCGACTGAGTTCCGTGTCGGGGCTGTCGGTCGGCCAACGGCCGCGGCACTGCGCGAGCTGGAGCTGGAGCACCGGCAATCAGCATCGCAGCCAGCACCGGAGCCAGCTTCAGCACCGGCACCAGCGCTGGCACCAGCACCGGCACCAGCAGAGGCACCCGAGTCGATTCCAACATTGGTAGCAGGAGTCGGCCCCAGCACCGGCACGAGAAGTCGACTACGGTACCACCGGCACCACAGCCGCCTCCAGCACCACCGGCACCAAAGCCGGCTCCAGCACCAGTACCAGAGCCGGCTCCGGCAATGGCTTTGCCACAAATATCTGCACCGACAGCGGCACCATCACCAGCACGGGCACCGGCACCGACAGCGGCACGATCACTAGTATCGGCACCAACACCGACGCTGGCATCGGCACCAGCACCAGCACCAACACCAACTTTAGCACCAGCACCGGCGCTTGAGTGTCTCCGCGCGGTCTCATGATAGATACGCGGCGAAGTGCAACTTTCTGGCGGCGTGCTCAGTTCCATAGCATTGTGCCATAAACGAGCTTAACGTTCCACAGACAGCTGTAAGAAGTGATTTGGAGTCTACTGTCCGAGATTTACGCTCGTTCTATAAAAGAATCTTGCAATGGTATGGCGGCCTATAAAACAGAAAATATAACCGCCTCAAACAAGCTTCTAAAGCAATAAAAACGTGTGTTACGACTGGGTTATTAGATACGCTTCAGAACGGTGGTTCCTACTTGAGGTGAATTGAGAATAAGGCTTTCAGTCTCACGGACAAACACTCTACCACTTAACCCCCCCCCCCCCCTCCCCCTTCAACACACACTGCCATCGTATTTTGCACCGTTTGTGTGTCCGACTTCAGCGTCACTAACCGTGGTGATCAATTTGGTGGGTTCAGAAACTATGAAGACGTCTAATTACAATGCCGGAGACACGGTCAGCTAATCAGCCAGCTAATGACACGGCCAGTTAGTCCTGATAGGATCACCCGAACCACAATCCGTGGCTATCTGATAACCGGAGCCAAGTCGGAGAAACGACCCCTTATCCGGAACAAACCACGACTTTTTAGACTCGCATAGGGCAGGGGAGCATAAACGCATGCGTTAGAATGCACGCCATTAAGCAGCGTTTTCTGAATTCCAAAAATTCCCGAATTTAACAATTCCTAGAGCCACCAGCCAACCAAGTTTGGTTTGGTCCAGTCTGGTACAACCATTTCGAAGGCAGTGGCACGATGTACTTGCCCTTCCACCAGCCGCACCCGCCCCCTTCCCCATGACACAAAACTAGACATGAATGCGGTCCTTACCTGAACAGGTGGTCCAGCACAGCAGCGCGACGGTTGAAACCGCGACAAACCGCCACATCTTGCCGGCGTGTGTTCGGCGGTCTGGTGCGAACACCAGGGCTACTGAGCACGCCGGCCCAGCGCCATCGCGCAAGATATTGGGCGCAGAGTCCGGATCGCCGTCACCCAGCCGGAGCCGCAGCCGCAGCCGCCGCGGATGGACGCAGGCCAGCGCGGCGGAGAGCGCTGTAGGTCCGCTGGTCGCTCCGAGTTTGTGGCTGTCCCTCTCTCAGTCCGGTCGAGACAAAACTGATGCGTGCCGGGCGTCGGAGGCAGCGGAGCGGTGCTGATCGCAGCGCCTCTGGCGGCTGGCTGCGCAACTACACAGATTTGCCGTCGTTTCGCGCACCGGTCGGTGATGTGATGGTAAGATCGAACCGAGAAGGGTAAACCAGCCCGTCGGACGGTTGATTTGAAGTCAATATGGAGACGCAGTCATGTCTGTTCTCACCTAGTGATGCCACATTGACTAATGCTGTGCAGTCTGTCCCAGTGTTCTCGAAACAAAATATTCCTGCTAAATCTGACTGGATTTGAGCTGCTGTAGCCACAATTGAACTCAAATACTTATTTTGATCCTTTCACCCAGGACACCAATAGAAACAGACCTTGGTAAAACTCAGTGGTAGCCATCAGGAAATGACTGGCAGCGCCTTTGAACGCTTTGTGGCCATCCTAACTTGAAGTGGGCTGTGACGAGCATTCATCTATGTATGGAAATATGCCGCTGAAAGGCATGTTTAAGCACACTCGTCTCGGTATTCTGCTGTGCTCCAGTTAAGAATACTTTAAGACACCCTCTGAACTAACGGCCATATTATACATGCATATATATATAAATGCATATAATCACATCATATAAACGTCTTTCCCGCACGGGGCCTTTCAAACATAAAAGAGACTGTTCAACATTTGAAGATATTGAAGCAAGCATGAAATATGATGAAATCAGCTCGCTGATAGCTATTGGTATATTTTTAGTGGGAAAAAATGTTCTAGGCAACACAATTTCTCTAGTTAGTAAATGACATACTCAGAATGTCATCGTTTGATTGTCTTATGAAGCATTTGTAAGTTGGCGAGGCGCCGCCAAAGTACCCTTGCGAAATTGTCAACGGGTGACATTCGGGTGACATTGTAGTGATCTGCACTAACAAGTTTGCCCATCTTCACGAGCGTTTACCTCAGAAGCTAGAGGGTAAGGTTTTAAAAAGGGCAGGGCTGTGAGCTGTACCAAATGATCTTCAAAATGGCGATTTCAGTTCAAAGCCCCGTACGAATGCGAGACTTTCCATTTTAACGAGATTTAAGGGAATATTTCACATTTGAAGATATTAAGAAAAGCATCAGCATTGCCGCCTCCGTGGTCTTGGGGAAAGATGCTGGACTCGTAATCCAGCGGCACTGGGTACGAGTCCCAGAGTGGGCGCATTGTTTGACCCGACTGAAACGGAAAGGCCAGCTGGCAACTGGCCAACGAGGCTCAACCCAGACCCGAGGCGGCCGCGTCGCAGCATTGTGCGGCACGTAAAACCCTCCGCATTCCCGTCCGGCGAAAGGGCGGAGGCAAAATTAGCTGTTGAACTGGACGGCACGCTTGGGTGGTGGGTTCGGGGTACACGCAACAAGCTATGCTTAGCAGGTACTCTGAATCCGAAGCCACCCATACAAAACCATTCGGGATAAATTAAAAAACAAAAAATCAGACATGATGGGAGAAGCTTGCTTGTAACTTTTGGTAGGATTGCAATGTTCCAAAATGAGCCTAAGTAGCGAAATTTCAAAGTTTATAAAAATGCGCCCCATTACGTCATCGTTTGATAGCGTCATGGAATCGTTTTGTAACGACAGCAATACCTGGCAGCATCTGCTAGCCAGTCCCTAAGAGTACCTCGAAACACACGAAAGCTGACGCCAGTCGGCCATTCTCGTCGCGGGCGCTGTGTCGGGTGGCGGATCAGTGGGTGGTTTGTTTGTAGATTTTTGGTCTTGGTACTGTTGCAAGAAAAAATTAAGTGAACTGTTTGACATACGCAACGTAGCGATCGCCAGCTTTTGTGGCAGATGTTAATATGAAAGCACTATATCCTGTGAAAGCTGTCATATAGCGTCATGAATCTCCTACCGAAACCTGCCAAGGACTGTTGATGATGTCAATACTGTATTGTCGACCTATCCTTGCCTGCAGTGCTGTAATCCTGACATTGATATCATGTGATGTGCACAGTTGTTACTTTCTTTATCATTTGTAACTGGAAATGCAGTTCCATGCAAAAACGAATAAATCTGTAACGTTGCTATGAATTGATTGCCAAAGCACTGCTATGGTAAAGTTGGTAAGGTTGACCTATCAATAACTTTGTTCTTGCTTAGGATTATTTATGCAATTACTAGTTAACCCTGATGCAACCATTGTGGCGCAACGGCATTCTCGCTGGTGATAGTCCTTTGGCGTTGTTAATTCAGTTGTTGCCAGTCACCCATAAATTATAAGCTGTTATCTCATAGACTTGACATAGCGTAGTCAACCAAGGTGGTGGTAACCACTGTGTAATGGCATGGGTCAACAGCGTCATTGCGGCACTGCCTCAATGCTGTACTCTGGCATGGTATAATGAACAACGACATGGTCTTTGCCCTGCAATTCCCGCTGTTTTCATAACAAATTCCATCGTGAAAAGGTGGGCCAAGCATGCATACTTGTATTAACTCCGCATCTGACATATGACTGACCAAAAAACATATGATACAATATGCAAATCAATTTCAACAAAGCACACAACAAACAAGTGGCTACAAGGCTTATGGTAAAAGCATTATTACGTGCTATCCACGAAACTAACAGCAATACTTTTCCACCTTTCCCAGCACTCGGCATCTCACAGGAGTTGCAGTGACTATGACATTGATGATTCATATGATTCATTAGCAATGCTTGCCTGCATACAATATTGGTTAAGACAATAGTACTTGCACCCAAAATAATGCAGCACTATATTTTCAGAGTTCTTAAGGGAAACACAATTTTGCAAAGCCTTATCGTGTGAGCTTTTACCAAGCATGTGCATTAATGAGCCGCACAGACCAGCCCCTACCGCTAAAATTAAGTGCCAATATATTTGCATGCAATGGATTAATTACATGCTGTAATACCTCAATAGGTTCAAAATGTTGGCAAGATCATAATGAAGTGGCAAACTGCCTTTGTACACCACTGCAACATAGGCGCTGATGTTTCTTTTAGTTTGCCGCCATCACTACCTTGTCATGTTAAAACACAAACATGAAGATAGAGGCAGGTGTCGATACATCACATTTTGTTGACAGCCAGTAGACTTAAAGAATACTAAAACAATGTTCTCTCTCAGAAGTACAAACCTTGCACGCACACTTCCCTTCACATCAAGATCAATACAAGCTACTGGCACGCACCATCAGCGATCACACCCATTTCTAGCCCCTGATGAACACTCTTTTGTCAAATAAGGGTGATCCCTCATTTGCACAGCTCGCGGGGCTATCAAACTGCAGGTGTTCACAATTTCTGCACAGGTTTTAGGTTGTAACACCGCATTTCATCGTGAGCTCCCTTTAAAGCAAAGTCCCAGCGGTGGTTCATCGTAATGCAGTTCAAAAGGTTTCATTTGTAAGACACAAATTTTTTGTTCAAGATTTAAATTTGTCGTACAATATGTGGTAAATATTTAGTAAATAACATATATCTAAGATTGCTGTAATGTTTCCCTAATTTTATAACGCCTTGCCAACCCATAAATCCGTGCAAGGTTCTTGACTCTGGCGCAGAAGGCGCCAACCGAGCTATCTGTAAGAAATACGTCAGAAAAAGAAGAAAAAAGACATCTGCCGTCGCGTTTTCTTTTTGTAGAACATGTGAGAGAGCGTCGTTTTTCGGTGCCGTACTTTTTTCCAGGCAGTTCTTTTTTGCGTTATTTTTTATAACATTCACCCATGACCTAGAAATAACGAAAAGTGCTCCGTTGACGAGTGCCGCACAAACCGACAGTGCTTACGTTCGTTAGATCACGTTACGTTCGCGACAAGCTTTCAGCAGCGAAATCTTACAAACAGCTAATCATCTTCCGCGCATTGTACCATACGTGGTGGGTCATCGTTTTTTCGAATGTATTAGCGGCCATGCTGTTTTGACCAAAGGCAGACAACAGCCTGTAAGTCGCAATGACGTTTCTATGACGACATCCATGCCAAGGTGACTTTGAACCAGCCTCCTAGCAAACTTTTTTCCACTTTTGCGGGCGTGTAACTCATGAACCAAAGGGTTTTGGGTCTTAAAAATGGCATGGCTGTAAACTGCATCAAAAGGTCCTCAAGATGGCTATTTCAGTTCAAAACCCCAACTAAAGGTGGAACATTCCCTTTAAACCAGCAGATTGTATTCTTGGCTATGCTGTTTGACATATGGATTTCAACACGGCAACACAAGACTCCATTTTAACTGGCTTTAGTCGTAAACCTAGCGTCTACTTGCAATGTCAACGTGGGCATTTCTTCGCTGCATTATCGCTGCGCGATATACAGCCAATGGAAATAATAAACACCTAAATAGCCACATAGTGATTGGCTAGATGCTCTTAAACGTAAACATCTAGCCAACGGCCAGAGGTTTGAGAATTTATAGGGTGAGGTGAACCCGTTGCACCAGATAGGATGCTGCCAACAGTTAGGCGACACCCTTGGTTCCCTTACGTGGTGAAGGGTGACGTCCACCTCATGGGGTTCGAATGCTGTTTCCTCCAGTAGGAGCTACAGTCAGCTGCCACTAAATTAAGCCAAGACGAGAGAAAACACAACGATCCAATTTTTCCAAAACCTATTGACGTTGAGGCCAATCAAAACTCAAACGGCATGTATTTGTGTAGAATTATCAATAGTAAGAGACAAACCATGCCACTATTTACAGTCCTGGACAACTGTCGCCACACCCAACATTCGGAGACAATTGTCACCATTCATAATGATCAGAGACGAAGTTAGTCGTTTGTCCTGATCTGGAACAGCCGTCACCACTTTGCACATTTAGATGCAACAACTCCTGAGATTCAGACGCAGCCGTCACCACTGAAATTGGGAGCATTTTCACAGCACCATAAATCCTAAGACCGCTGTCACCACTGATCTCATTCAAGAGCACATCGCCACCAGTAACTTTCGGAGACGGCCATCGTCATTTGCAAATTCACACCATCTTTATAT